AAAAATTATTTTCTAATTCACACCATGCATCTCCCTTTCAACTTTTTCTATTATTTATGGTACTATGGAAAATCCTAAGTCATATTTTATTGCTTTATATACTATGCTTCAATGGGACCAGACTTTCTTCCAAGGTGTTGTTGTTATAACGGTCTTGAGAAATATTTCTATCGGCTTTTCAATGGCCTTTCAAGGCCTTTGAGTTTCAATGCTAATGTGGCTAATATGCGGTTTGAAAAGATCCTATAACAAATTAGATTTCAAAGCAGCTTGACATTTCTTTGACTTAATCTAGAGTATAAGAAACACAAATAATAACGAGACATAATAGTGTATTTCATCACAAAAACAGAAGTCCCAAAGAGAGACTTTACTCTGAGATCCACCAGATGGAAGAAAATATCAGTTCCTCTTCAAGACTGAACTCAGCCAAATTTAATTTTGTGTACCCATAGTTGCATTCTTATGGTTATGGTTCAGGTAAATAAAGAGCACTGATTTAGCTAAACTCCTTCTTCAGTGGACTGAACCCCTACCATATCATTGCAGACGGTCCATCTATCCACCATCTGCTCCATCCTGGGATAACCTGGGAACAAGACACGAAGGGAACTGAAGTTCTTTGCTTGAGGCAAAGCCTGACCCCATGACCCCGATCAAATCCTGACCTCCATTCCTTTTGAGAAACATCCACACTAGCAAATTTATGTTGAATACATGCAGCAAAACATCATTACTTTCCATTTCAACAATGTGAAATTAGTTTGAAAGACGGTTTAGATCTACTGCAACTTTCAGATTCATTCCTTATTTGACACCTGAAAAAAAAATGAATGGGTCATTCTAAGCTTTCCGCAGAGCTGAATGACTTCTGATTAGGAGATTCAGTCATTTGATTCATGTGTGTCTTTTGCAGGATATTATTTTTTGAAGAATTAAGAATTATTTCTTCAGTATTAATGTACATGATTATCAAATTAGACATGCCATAGACGGACTATTTACACCTCATACTTTGAAAAATATTGGCTTTATATGGATTTATGTTCACACAGAACACCTTACAAAAAACATTTTGAAAAGAAAAATTACTAAAGGCTTAAAACATTAGCGTATGCAATATGAAAAGCAGAACTGGAATCCTGAAAAGCTTCTTTAAAAAATAAAAAAAACTTAGCATTAAATGCCTGCCAAATTACGTTTGTCATAACTGCAGTCTGCAAAGACGAATGTCTGAACTTTGTTTCATGCTGCAACAGTAACCACCAACAGTGGAGGAGCCTGTTGGTCTGCATCAAATTATTTTTTACTCCTTCATGTTTCTTCCTGTGGCGACTGATCCCATTAGTTTGTTACGAAAATGATTAACTAAATAGCAAACTGTAATTGATATAACTGGGAGTCTGATTCTTTGTCAATAAGAAACCCTCTCACCCTGTGTAAGGAGAGTCAGTGTGACTGAATAAGTCACAGAAATTTAACTGCACTCCAAAGAAAAAACTTATTAAGTCTCTCCTCATGTGGCTGCCTTACAGCAGGGGTTTTGTAGTTTAATTCCATTGTGATTATCCCCTGCCTTGATTGTCAGAGGCTCAAAATGAGATTGATTAGCTGTCCCTCATTTTAAGAAATCACTGGCTGCCACTGAGGCTAAACTGTTTTCTAAGCTTTGGATTAAGAATGCAAAATAGCTTTGAATGAACTGCGAAGGAGCCAGTCGGCGCTCACTACTCTCTTAGAAATTAAACAGTGTCCTACTATAAATGGAATTGGTGAAGCGCGTAACTATTAAATAGGATCAGTAAATCCGATAAAGCCCATTGTTGATCCCAGCTGACCACCAAGTTCACGAGCTTTAATGCCCACAGGCCAACGGGTAAACTGTTAGGAGCGCATTACTTTCCTGACATGGTGTGTTGTGTGCTTTATTAGAAAATGCACGGGAGAGACTTTCCATAAGTGGATCCAGGAAGTGGATTTAAAAGGGAGTTAATCTTGAAAGGAAAAATTGTTATGACTAGTTCTAGTTAGGATTTGGAAAGTGAAGAGGAGCAAAGCTACATGGAGCAGTAAATTAGCTAAGGTGTTTGTAAAAATAGCATTTCTGTATTTTCTCTTATTCACAGCGATCATTTCTCAGAAAAGTATTATTCTGTTTCCCATTCCACAACAAATTAGGTTTATTTATTTATATATAAACCTGAAAGTGAGAATTTCTCACAGGAAGATAGATATTCAAAACCAGTGCATGCCACACTTTTCAGATTTTATTACTATATCACTCATAAAATAATATTATTTATGTTTATTTGTACAAAACATAGAAAATTTATTATGTATTTTCACCTTCACAAGTATGCATAACTTTGTAGTCATTTATCAAATTATAGTGGAATGCCTTGTAGTTTGTATTTACAACGTAATTTAATACAAACATTTTCAAGCGTTAGAAACTTTGTAACATACCATATTACAACTTTGTTTGATTTTAAATATTTTCAGTCCCAGTCACACAGAACACCTTACAAAAAACATTTTGAAAAGAAAAAGTACTAAAGGCTTAAAACATTAGCATATGCAATATGAAAAACAGAACTGGAATCTCTTTGTCTGGCCATAATAGTTCGTTGGATTTAGACTTACTCCACATTTTTTTCTACTTTTATTTATTTATTTTTTTCCTTCCCATAGTTTTTCCTCACATTATTTATTGTTTGTTTTCAAAAATAGAAATGCTGCATTTTATGATTTCTAACTGGGTGACTTATTTATGGCTAACAATGGGCTTTAACTCAAAATATGCACATAAATATCTGGAGATTAAGTTTTTTGTAGCCATCGTCATGTTTATATATATCTTATTTCTTGGAATATGTGTTTGTCAGACTTTTCTTTCCAGGTTCCCTTAAGAGCCCCACACAGAACCTGAAATCAGGTCATTTGGCTCAACACTTCTATATGTGCTTTCCTTGACAGCATATCCCATGATCACTATCTGGGACAAAGACTTATTCAAGAGGGCGTCATCTATCATGAATGCATAGACTGTGTGTGTGCGTGTCTGCGTGAATGTGAGCGGCAGTAACAATACTTTACCAAGAGAGGTCGCTTTTCTGCCGTTCCTCGGTCTCACTTGACATAAATGAGACATTTAGGTTTAGGACTTGATGTAGAAACATAAGCTTATAAATCTCTATCACAGATAAAATGGCTGAGCTGTAACACGTACTGCTGATTACTACTAATAATAGTACTTTTTCCTACTCATTAATTCAAAACAGTTGCTTTACCTGATGAACCTGAATTCACACTCTTGCATTCCCGTAATCATTAATGAAATGAAATTAAAAACATTTTAAATAGCACAACAGGTCGACATTTTTAGATTCAAATATTTCCAATCCAGAGTATTTGTGATATTGTTAATGCTGAAAACACACTGTTCAACCAGATTACTACCACATAACATGTTCTGCAAATGTATAGAAAAGTACAGCAGTAGGTTTACTGATTATTAGGATTTTATTGGTTTCCGCTAGATTCAATAATCTTTAATCACTTAAATGATTGATTTCACTGTATTTCATTTTAGAAAATTAAGGCAGAATTTAGTATTTAAAGTCATTTTGGTAAAAGTGTCAACATATTTTCATACAACCATTGAGCAGGTAGAACTAATGTTCTCTTTAGACTGAGATAACTCAAAGAAACAAAAACAACTCGTAATAAGCTTTACATTATGTCAAAGTACGTTTCACCTCAATAAGTTTCGAGATGTTTAATTTTCTTTTTATGATACTACTAACACTTTTTAGGAACAGACTGTTTTTACAAGAGTAAAATCCTTCATGTTTTCAGTGATTAGATGTGCAAGGCAGCATGAAACAAGTCACACTTTTTTGAATATGAACGCTGCACCTGCTGTTTTCGTTGGGCTTTTTCAGAATGGGCAATTTGATGTGACCGGTAGCAAAGCCTGAATATGCAAAAATGCATTTTAGTTGCATGGAAATGGAGTTGTTTTAGAAGAAAAAAAGATTTTCGTTGCAGTGGACATTCAGTTTTAGAGAATTTTGCAGTAGATTTCCTCTTTAACAAACACACGACATGCTTATAAATAATGCAGCTTAATGCTTAACAGAAATGACCATGAAGTTTAAATTCAGAGCTGAATGTATTATTCAAATGTTTAATTCAACTCCTGTGCTGATGTTTCGTGTCCAAACTGGCAATTTAATTCAAAGAAACATCAAAAGCATATTAATTTAGCTTTATTAAACTTTTATGACCCTTAATTTACCTTTACTGTGTTTGGAAAACCTTTTATTCCCATCTTTATTGTCAGCTGCTTGGTGGTGCAACACGGTTCACCCTCTGATGCTTTGATCTGATGACTGGAACAATATTTAATCGTCTCCATATTGTGTGTGTGTTTCTTTTTAATCTGTTGAGGAATCTTCAACACCCCCTGCTGTTCTTTCCACTGACTTTACACACCTGATCCCTGTGACCTGAATACAATGAGGAGAGTTGCTCGGCCGTTAAACTTACCCGTGTCAGACTCACACTGCAACACCAGGATCAGCTGATGAGAAATCAGCGCCCAATGTAGACTTGTGAATTTTTAACACCAGCTGCACAACTTATCTCAACAACATTACATAACAAAACTGGATATGCGAGTTTGAAGAACTATAATGCTATTCAAGCAAAATTCAATATATCTTTACAGAGTCATAGTGATAAAGTGGACAATTTTAGACTTATAGCATAATGATCATGCTTTCAATGCACAAATTTGCAAGCACATGGACACATTTGGACTTAATGTAACTGAAGAGAGCACTAATTTAACCTTGCATTGCCTCCTGGACAAGCTTAAGAGAAGAGTTATATTACAGTGATGAACTCTTTCATAAACCCATCCCAGTATTTTTGTACCACAACACACAGTCATTTTTCTTATATGCAATTTATTTTATAGTCTTATGCTTCACAAAAACAAATTTATATTCAGAAGGATTCATTTTTCCAGCCCTAATTTAAAAAAAAAACAAACAAAACAAAACTGTAATATACCACTTAAAATTAGGATCAACCTCAAAGCTCCAGCTCAGATACCAACTGTAGCATCATTTATCAGCCATATTTTCTTGCTGTGTTTGCACTGGTCAAAGTACCAGAGGGTCCTGAACCTTATTAGCTAGAAATGTCATTCATTTAAGTGCTAATGGGGACACTCATGCCATGCCACCCTGGGTGGAGAGTCATATCCTCCCGATTAAAAACCACCACTAGTTCTAAATCATATGAAATCCAATATAGTAAATGGCAAATATCCATTAGAAGGCATGCCAGCTCATTGAGTCTGCTCAGCTGATGCATTACAGAATGTTCAGATTAACCAGGCCCTGAATCTGGTTAGCAATGGCTTGCAGTCATTTGGAAGCCATTGCTTCCAAGTGAAAGAAGTCCAGGAACTTTCATGCTGTAGACCAAACTGCAATCCTTGAGGTCCAGACTCCTGCATAAATGTCCTACATGCTTGAATAAATTGACTAAACTGCTTTACTAGCCTCCACAGAGCTCTGCTAATAAGCTAACATTGGAGTCAGGTATGTTGAAACAGAGACATATCTTAAAGTTGCAGGACACATGCTCTTGAGGACTGGCGTTTGAGACCATTGCCGTAGAAACATCAGAGTGAGTTTGGTCAAATGGTGCATGACCACCAAGGTGCCGAGGAATCATCAAACAACATACACACACAAACAGTGGTGCTTGTTTAAGTGGGCTTGAGGTAGTTATAAAGGGCACTGAGTCCACCTTGCAGCACCTCATGGATAGGCTTGAGGAGCGGGTTGTGAATTATATGAAGTCCTTTATCCAGTGGATGGCAGGCTAACCGCCTGAGTCTGCTCAGCTGGTACATCTCGTCAGGCACACTTTGCAGCTCGTTAAAGTCCACATTGAGAAGCTCTAATGAATCCAAGAAACACAAAGTCTTTGGAAGAGTGTGTATGCTGTTTCCCTCCACAATCAGGATCTTCAGGTTAACCAGGTCCTGAATCTGATCTGCTATGGTCTCCAAGCGGTTGCAGGCCAAGTGCAGGAAGACCAGTCCTTTCATGCTGTAGACGCAGGAGGGGATGTGAACAATGCGGTTGTGACTGAGGTTGAGTTTGGTCAGATGATGCATGGCAGCCAGGCTGCTGGGGAGGCTGGAGATCTGGTTGTTGGCCAAGCTCAGCACCTCCAGGTGTGTGCAGGAGCCCAGCTCTTCAGGAACCTCACTCAGGCGGTTGCGAGAGGCGAACAGCACGCGAAGCTTCTTCAGCAGGCCGATCTCAGGGGGGAGACTGGACAGGTTGTTTCCCAACAAGTTGAGAATCACCAGATTGTCCAGAGAACCCAGAGCGGGAGGCAAGGAGGACAGACAGTTCATGGACAAGTTGAGTTTCTGAAGGTCCTGGAGCTCCCACAGCTCGGCGGGGGTTTCATTCAACCCCCGCATGGATAAACTCAGAGTACTGAAACCAAAGTGTACGCTGGTTTGTTTACGGATCCTCTCAGCTGCCCAGGACAGGCTGGGCTGCTCATCTCTAATTGTACCCTTCTTTCTTTGGCCCACACTCACCTCATTCAACTCTGAGCTGGACAGGCTGCGGGACTGCTTCCCACCCATCACCTTTGTAGCGATAATGTTTCCGTCACTTATGACAGCATGCAATTAACTCAATCACCAACTCCTGAAGCAATGAGAGGTCTGCTAAAGACAATTGCTGCTGATTGATCTCCAGGGCTCTTGAACGCTGTTAGCAGCAGTTCCACTGTACCGCCTGGTTGCTTGTAAAACTCACATTGATTCCTGGCTGAGCTTTTCCTCACCAAGCTGATGCGACAGAGCGCTGCACTACAGACCCTGTGATCTGCATGTCCCAGATCCTTCCTTACTGGATTTCATTCCCCAGCTGTCCCTGTCACTTTTCCAGCACACACATGGCATTTAGATCCCCACCCACCGAAAGGCAGGCATGAGATGTTGTGTGAGCACAGTCATTTGAGGCCACTGCTACAGCTAATAATGTTATTACAGATCATAGAAATAAACCACATTTAGGACCTGAAGACTGATGTGGCCCAGGAATAAGGGTGAGTTTATTTGCCTGGAAAAATGTTCCCATTAATTTGGCAACATATTTTCAATCATTATCCTGTTGAAGGACCAAAAAAAATACAGAGGCCAGCAGGTTTGTATTTACTGATACCCTGAGTTATCAGTATCATATACTTGTACAAGGTTCACAAGAGCTTTGAATGGGAAACTGACCCAGAGCATCACAGATCTTTATTCAGCACCAAGTACAGATACTTATCCATTATCTGTTTTAATTCCGGAACCACCCAGAGAGGTTCTGAAAAGCTCTGCTTTTATCTTAACCAAAGATCCTGGCTTAGTTAAAGTTCCAGTTGTGTTTTTCTAACTACAATTGTTTACATTTTGTGTGAGAGACAAAAGTAAACGACCCATTATCCTATAACTTGCACAATAGTACAATATAGTGGCTATTGTATTTGTGTTCACATATTTTGGCATTTTTTATTCATTTTTCTTATATTTTGTTTCCTAAGACTCCTGGTATGTCATTGCAACCAGGTTCTGCAGCAGTGAGCTGTGGAGTTTGTTTATTGCCATTCTTCTTTATGGTGTCAAGATAAACTCAATCCTGGTTGGTTTGTCTCAGTACCAGTTGTCTAAAACTTGCCACAGTTATTAGCCCTGTTGCCTTGCAGCAGGAAGGTTGCAGGTTTAAATCCCAGCCAGAGACATTCTGAATGGGGTTTGCATGTTTTTTTTGTGCATGAGTGGATCCTCTCAGTTCTCTGACTTCCTCCCACAGAACCAAAAATATGCCTTTTGTATTCATTGGCTCTAGACTAGCCTTAGGTCTTAGGTTGTGTGTGTGCTCATGTTTATATGATTGTCTGTCTCTGTGTTGCCCTGTGATAGACTGGCAGTGGTAATCTATTGACGGTCCACAATGTTTTTAATGCAATGATGGCTCCAGACAGGCATCAGCCCATGGCATCAATATAGAAAATGGATGGATTGATTTGAAGCAGACATGGGCAACTTTAACCAAACAGATCTCAAGTGATATATTATCTTTCCTTTTCTATTTTAAAGAGTGAATAAAAGAAATGTGCCTCTGTTCCACATCATTCTAAATCATAGAAATGGGAAGTCAAGGGTTCGTTTCTTCACATTTTGATCAAACTAAAGTAGCAAGCTTAAAATAAGAGACACATTTATTTAAAGGAAAACACTATTTATATTATTTTGTCGGTATAAATTGAGTTACATATCCATCATAACATCATTGTCTAATTCTTCTCACCATCATAATATATCAATATGAGCTGCTTCAGTCTCAAGTGCAAAAGGACACAGAGTATTCCAGTGTGTTCCTATAACTCTACTGCTACTTAATTCTGCTATTTAATTTCACTTATATCGCCCCCAAAGGGAAGTATCTCTCTTTACATGAAATAGTACACTGAAGCACATTTACATTTTTGAATTTGCCTTTCCCTCCAGCAACTATGGCGGTAAAAACTTCTTAATGCGCCGTCCCTGAAGACATTTTTCTTAAGTACTTCCCAGGAGTTGTTGCTCAGGGGTATTTGTTCATGTTCTTCTCTAAATTTCACACACAATTTAAATAATTATATGTTTTCAGTATTTGCTTGAGCTGAAGATATACATATTTATTATTTCTCTAACTGACAATTCACATAGATGCACTCCATATTATTGGGACGATGAAAGTGAAACACTCTGACTTCTTAAAGCTTGCTCCGTTAAGAACAGCCACCTTGCACACTCAGATTCAAAATAATTCATGCCCCGAAGGCAGAGAGGGGTTATATATAGGTGAAAATGTGTTATTAGGTAATCATTCAGAAATGTCTCTGAACATCAGCCATCAGGTTTAGAGAAGTAGTTCAAGGGCAAACTGAGGTTTGTGAGATGAGAAAAAGTTTTTAGGCAAAATGCTTCAAGGCTTTTTAATGGTTGTTAATGATTGCAAAGTATTGTGGAAGATTCAATAACCTCAACCCTAAATGAACTCTTTCATTTTTCAATTTGTGCTAAGAGAAACATATTGGGTGCAAGATGTTTATGTGGAAATAATTTTTTGCATTACCGTAAATACCTTCAAAAAGAAAATCAATGTGACTGTAATCTTGTGGTTTCATGTCTCCATTTATTTTCAGTGCTGAATTTCTTTTTCAGAGTTTTATGTTGTCTGTTTTGAGATTTCACCTTAGCTGGGTCCCAAAGGATTCTCCTTTTATTTGTCATTTTTGTTGCCTTTCGCTTTTTGTTCTCCCTCAGTTTCTTTTTGTTTTTGGTTTTTTATTCCAAAAAAAAAAAAAAGATACGCTTGATTCAGGGAATTTGTGTCTGTCACCCTCCACCAGAAAAAGACTGCTGCCGGTAACTTTGTTTTCTCTGTTTTCTTCCATAGAAAGTTCATTTGATCATGTTACTGAGCTGGATATCGTTTCTTGGACAGGCTCACATCAAAAGTCCTTTGGGACCTCTCACCAAAACCTTGCTCAGGATGAGGGATTGCTGCAAACTCAGTGACTCAAGCAGTTGGGTTTCCTTGTAGAAAACTTTCTACTAATCGAAATGATGAACCAAACCGAAAGACTGAAAGTCTCCTATGTGATCTCATAAGGCTTCCAGAGTCTGAGCAGCACTAGAAGCGGCCACAGTCATCACTCTCCTCCCTGTGCAGTAATCAAAGTACAAGGATGACAGTTAGCAGTGATACTTACCTCTGGGGACTCTGAGCAAGGCAACATCAGCACTTATGAGTGATAGGCTCGACTGCATCTGTGCAGAATTGGACATCAGAGCTGCTAAGGTGCATTGACCACTCAAGCAGATGCCCTGCTTGTGCAGCAAATCTCATCTGGGATTTTCTTTCGAAATGTCAATATCTCAACATCAAAATACTGTGTGTAGTAAAAAAGACGCTGAGTACTGGATTTCTGGTGTCGGTGCTTGGAAATGCGCTTTCACCCCAGACCTGTTAGTTTGGGTGAGTTGTGCTATGTGGATGTTACACAGATATGTGTGCCTCTGCAAATTTCGCATCCAACTGGGGAGAGAGCCATATCCTGCTATCATCTTTTTTTACAAGAAAAGCAACACCTCAGCTGTATCTGTTAGAGCTCACCTTCCTTCAATGTGCAAATGCATCACCAGCGAGACAACACAAAGTCCAGAAAAAATACTGCCAAACGTGCTATAAACCTTCATAAATATGCCCATTACATCTAAACAGCACTGCATTACCAAGAAAAAGCAAACATTTATGAATTGAGGAAACTGGTGGGTTACAGAAAGTAAGTTGTGTGGAGGGACATTCCAACCAATAATGTCAATGCTTTGCAAAAGGGCCAAGCTAACTTTGCTGTAATTTTTGCCAATTCATCTTTGCAATTCAGCTTCAAGCTCAGTCATTTTGGATGGAGAATCTCTCTGAATGTGTGTTTTCAGGTCTTGCCACTGAATCTAAAACTGGGTGTAGGTCTGGACTTGAACTGGGCCATTCAAATGCATAAATATGCTTTGATTTAAACCAGTCCATTGGTGAACCAGTGAAGAAAAGTGGGTCTGTTTCAACAGTAGTTTCCTCATTGTCCCTCGCATGTATGCTGTGGATCTACAGCTCCTCTAGTGTACAATGGAAACTGTAATTGGTTTTCTGATTAATAATTCCCTTGCCAAACATGTCGACTCACGTGGATGATGTCCACATAGATCTGCAGCTGCAGTGCCCAACGAGATATTCAGAGCTTTAGGATGTTGCGTGTTCCCCAATGTTTCACAGCAAAATCCTGAGGCCATCAGAGAACAGCAGAATGTGTAGCATAGTGGGCTAAATGCAAATGTGCGCCATACTTTTTGGGTTTTATGTTTGTAAATATCTGCATCATTTTCCTTTCACTTCATGACTAAGGATTCCAGAAATGCTTGCTGTAAAAAAAGTTTCAATAACCCTGCCCTGTAACATGCTAGTATGTTATTGTTACAAGTGATGCTTGCCATGCATGACTTTTTTAATCAAATTTCTACTTTGAGCAAAACAACAAATGAGCAAGAAAAGCTTTCAGTTTAAATGAAAAGAAAATGGGATTCACCATTCCTCTTACAAGCAACACCTTAATACGGAGCCCCATTAGCGCCAAATGAGGATGACTTATTCAACCTGAAAAGAGTAACACCCCGCTGTCCTCAGGGTGACAAAAATGATCTCATTTGAGGAAACTCATCTGCTTATGTGGCACAATAATGACTCTGGATGAGCTACGTTTTGAGACTTCACTTTAACATATATGCCATTATTACTCGTTCGTTACTTTGGGGGATTCTGGCAGTGACAGATGATATATTGCCTCATTGTTGGAGAAGCTGCTGTAGGTGTCTGGATCATGTTGAAATGTGAGGAACAGACGCCAAAACCTCAGGCTCTTGAGTCTATATGGGAGACATATTATTCCCTGCAGCCAGTGCTTTCACAGAAGAATGTGTTACCTCTTTAGACGGAATACAAAATCAGGTCTGAGAAACAAGAATTACGCATTTAGGATGCCCTTTCAGATAAAATTAGCACCGTGCAAAGGGAAAAAGCCCGAAAACAGGGCTGCACCTGAGCTAGTAATCGTCTATTATTCAGCATGTGCAGATGTGAATATTCACACCAGTGGACACTTTCCATTTGTGCAAATGCATGCATCCCCCTTCCTGTAGCTAATGGAGTCAGTGGGAAGAGGCGTCACGTTTTTTTTTTGACAGAATTTGAGGACATGTGAATTGCCAT